GGATTAAATACTACGATGTTCAAAGTTTGGATAAAATCGGTTACTCCTTTAGAGAGTTATCTGAGTAGCAACCGACCAGACAGGCAGACAGACAGACGGGCGGAAGGACATACATTTGTAAATCGAATAAATATTCGTTATATTGGAGATTTTTAGCACGTTATTCGACACAATTACTTCTTAGACTCCAATTATCACATGCTGCGAATTTTCCTTATCGCAATATTCTTCAAAAATGTTGCTCATAAGATTTTAGATGGGGTTCTCAAAGACGAGAAATCTACATTTGAAGGTTTTATTGGTCTATTCTCAATTTTACCCGTTTTTTTGTCACTAAAACCCTATATGTAGGTATTTCAAGAAATTCAGATACATACATTCCTTATTATGAAGAATTGTTGGAATTGTTCGAAATATTTTCTAAAAATTACAAAAAAAAAAAAAAATAAATAAATAAATTTCGAGGAAAAAAAGAACCGGTTTTCTTAATTTTTGAACCGGTTTCTTTAGTAAATAAAACCGAAAATCACCCGGTTCAATGAAGTTAACACGTTTGTTTACTAGCTTTCTAATGATATGAATATAAGGTATCGAAACCGGTTTTATTATCGAAATAACCGGTTCAAAAATTTATAAAACCGGTTTTTTCTCAAAAAAAAAAAATATGTTTGACGTAATTGGCATAAATTTATAATAATTTTTTCAAAATAATTCGCATTCTGCGATAATTGGAGCCAGTTTAAAAAAAAAATTAAGGGGACCCCCATTCTTGGGGTCAAAAATTTGTATGATTTAATTCGAATTTACTCTAATTCAAGAATGTCCCTACAAAATTTCAAGTGAAAATCTCAAGTACTCTTGAAGATATAGCCGATTTATTGTGTCAACATCAAGTAACGTCTAAGGGCTTCTCAAACTTTAAATGCGTTTTTCTCTTTTGCGAATGGCGGGCACGATAACTCAAAAACTAATAACCCAATCGATTCCAAATTTGTACACGTTTCTCTGTGATTGTACAGCTATCGTATGAACTAGGATAAAGCCAATCGGTCTTCCTTATTTATTACCTTGGTTTTTGGTCAAAAATCGGCTATTTTCGAAAAATATTTTTTCAAAGGTCCGCCATTTTGTTAATTTTAGAGCGAAGTCAATAATCCTAGTTCATACGATACCTTAAGACGAAAAGAACACACAAAGAATCGAGTTAGAAGGACGAAATGTTCTACAAAAATATTCTTAATTCGATTTTCCGGAAGAAATGTAACAACAAATATGATCATTTTTTTACTGTCGACCCTATGACAGTAAAAAATGATCACGCCATATCTCTGACTTTTGATCTATGGCAAAATTTTCCTTCTGGGGTTTTCCTATACTTACCAAGGTCTTTCTTTCCACTTATAAAAAATAATGACATAATCCCCACATATAAATGTTCCGATCGATTTTAGGTATTTAAAATGTCCACCTCTTGGGGTCTGGCCAAAAGTAATGCCTTTTGTATTTGTTTGACCACCCATCAATTTCCCCAACGTATTGAAATTATTTTAGCCGTTCATCAGCCATATTGGCCGTTAGTTTTTCCATTTATTTTCTATTTCCATTTACTTCAATGTTATGTAACCATTAAAATTGAAATTCCATTGACCGAAACATGACCATGGTAATTTAATCTATGCAAATGCTTCTTTAAAAGTAACCGTATCGAAAGGAAACTCACTCTCATCCCATTTTATAGAAATTGATGATTTCAAATTAATGTCTCGATGCCTTTGGGTATTCGTTCTACTTACTTTTGCATTGTTAAAGTTCTTCGAACCGTGGCAAATTTCCAAACCGTACAACCCGTAAAGGTATTCAAAACGGCAATGGTTGTAAAGGGGACAGCAAATACAACAACCGTATCCCAGTAATTGAGTAGTGTGATGTAATCCTACAAAGATACAAGAAAAAAAAAAACATAATAAAATTATACTTTTTTAAATAACTTTCGATTGAAAAGAACAGTGTGCAGAAAAAAGAAAATAAAGCATTTTTTATTAAAAAATATAAAAAAACATTTTGTAAAGATGCATGGCAAAGGTTGTAATAATAAACTGTTATTATCATCTTGTTATAATATATATATATATATATATATATATAAGGGAAAAAAAATATTTGGGTTCTATTTGTTTCTTTCACGACTAGTTGAAACTTCTGCAAGAACGAATCAAATGAGATGGATAGCAGCAACTGGAACCAACCAAAGCAAAAGGCAACAAATGATCCCCAATGAAAATTATGAAAATAATTTATTCCGACTCTTCCGACCAGGAGTAATAAATTTCATTTTATTAATATTGTTATTTAAAAAAAATAATTCAAAGCGGTATTACAAAATTCTACTTTTTTTATTATATAAAAATTCGGCAACAACGTTTCACGAATAAAACAAAAGTGATACTGGACAACGAATTAACTAAAGCAATTCGGCCATGTTGACGAGTAATGCAATACACAAAAAATCCTTCTTTCAACACATAACTTGAAACACATAACATGAAAATGGTTTGAAATCACCTCACGTACGTGAACATATTAGAAAATAAAAAAATCATATTTGTACATGTATTAGTTTTTTTGTTGTTTTAATATAGACTAACCCTTAACAAATGAAAGCCCCAAGTTAATATCAGTGTACATTATAATTTGTGGTTAATAATTTCCTTATGAGGATGAAAGACCTTGGCGTATATATTAATTCCTTTGGCGCCACCGTCCAATTAAAAGAACACCAACATTTGCAATACCACTATTAGAAAACAACCGTTATCTCAGTGGTTTTCTGTAAATACCCAAGCTTCAGTGCTTTTCGTACATATAAGTACGAAATTCCAATACTACCTTAATTCTGCAATATTTATTTCAATTTTATGTTTTCCATATCTATCCGTAATTATTACGACTTTTCAAAACTACCTCTATAACTCAATCCTGCACTCCAACAGTAATTTTAATTCCAAATTTTAGGATCTCTCTCTCTCTCTCTCTCTCTCTCTATCCCTTCACACAAATCCAAATTGTACAATTTTTCACTTTTCATATCCAAAGGTGCAAATCAATCAACCACTCCAACAAAAATTTTAAGTCCAAATTTCAGAATTCCAACCACATCCGTTCACATAGAAACAAATTGTAGCATAGTTAGTACAATTTTGTACCAATAAGTACAAATTTTCAAAATTATCTTAATCCTACACTCTAACAGTAATTTAAATTCCACATTTCAGGATTAGTATTTTTTTAACGCATACATACGAATATCCATAGCTGTCTCTATGGTTTATTTCTCAACAGTAATCTTAATTTCAAATTTCAGGTTTTCATCTTTATCCGTTCACCCAACATCCAAATTGTACTAAATTTAGTACCATTTAGTACTTTTCATGCTCACTCACTTAACACTAAGCTCTTTTATATGTTAATAGAGATGGTATTTACCGGGTAAATACCCAACGGGTGGGTAAATACCCATTTGCGGGAATTTATTTGGGTATTTCCTATATTGAATCGGTAATACAGCATCTTACACCCTATTTCCGGGTTTCTGTTGTCAAATCGATTTAGAATGGATAGTCTTACGATACTTTCACTACGTGGGTAAATACTTGGGTAAATACCAGAGTTTTTATTCAAAAATTGGGTATAATCTTATTAAAATTGGGTGTAAACTCATTAAGTGCCGAACCGAACTGGACATAGGCGGCCAAAATTTTGCATACATGTTTTTAATGTCAAAGCAAATATAGAAATCCAAAATGGGGTCCCTGGGTCCAAGTTTTGATATAGCCCCCATATAACCGTATCTCCCGATTTAAGGTATTTTTTGTCTATTAGACACATTTTACAACCAAAATGGCTGTAATTTGGCACAGAGTTTTCTTTTAGGGTACCAAATGTCCATGCAAACATTTATGTATGTAGGTCCACGTTTACTGGTAGCCCCCATACAAAGGTACCCCTATTTTGAGTATTTACCCAAAAATTGGGTATAAACTCATTAACTGCGGAACCACTTGACATATGCGGTTAAAATTTGGCTCAAATGGTTTTTATATCAATACAAATTCTGGTATGGGAAATGGGGTCCCAGGGTCCAAGTGTTGATATAGCCCCATATAACCCTATATATGTTCAAAATACATACAATTAGAACTAAATTTAGTAAAGTTTAGTATTTTTTCTACCATTATATGTCGAATTTCCAAATAGGATTACGATTGAGGAAATAGGATTACGATTGAGGTAGCTTTAGAAACTTTTTATGCAACTTTTCCAATTAAAAGTTGTATTTATTAAACAACAATGTTCTGGTGGTCTTTAACATTCTTGGAAAACAACATGATTATTGCTCTAAATATCTAAAATCTAAATTCATGCTGCTGTTATTGATGCTTCATATTATTCCCTCACTCTACAAAGAAAAACATGCTTTTAAATCATAATATTGCATCAGATTTTCATTTTCCACAAAAATTAAAAACGAAAGTACAAAAAAATTGTTTGCTTCGATTTGCATATAAATTGTGCACAGCATATTTCAGGTCATCGATTGATAGACAACCGACTATCAAAAATGAATGCACACATTTTTTGCTTCCAATTAAAAAAAATTCAAGAAACAACATTTCATTTACGTATGACATGTAATTTGGGAAGTTTTCATAATTAGATGGTTTTCATAATTTGCTAGAGTAACTTCTGGTAATGTGGACCATGCGTCAAATGTGGACCACCCCCCATATCTAAGAAAATGCTTGAAATATGCCAATGCCGCCTTGATAAATGTTTTCCTAATTAGTGAAAACAAACATCAAATTTGGGTTTTAATAAATAATTGCAATGTTGAAAATTTAGTAGGTGAAAATGTAGCTCTGATTGTAAAAGGGTGATTTGAAAATTGTTTAGCACAATAGTCGAACGATTTTGTAAAATAGTCGAACATTTTGTTTTTCTCGAATATAAAGAGGTTATGTGGTTTTCTTGTTTTCTTTAACAAAAATACAAGTTTATCTTTAATTACTTTCGGTTATTTTTAAATTTTTATTCATTTTTGAAGCCGATAATTATTTTTAAATAAAAATATTCAATGTCGGGTAATGTGGACCACTATAAAAAAGTGGGACATTTTCATGAGGACGAGTTCGAAACAAGGGCCCATTTAATATTCGAGGAGGTATTCTATCCTCTGAAAACTCGGTGCCTCGGTTAGATAATGAAGCAAGGACCTTCAAAATACCGCAAATGGGGTGGTACCCTTAAAAGGGGGCCATTCCAAAACATGGACCCATATATTTTTGCATTCATTGTTACCCAAGAGTGCAATAAATTGAAATTTATCACAATTAATCCACAACCTACCTTTAACTTACTGATCCTCATTACCCACACATACTGGTCCACATTACCCGCCAAGTTATTTTTATTTGCAGTTTAGAGTTTTTTGAAATATAATGCAATAACATTTTTATGGACAAATATATATAATTTTTGAACTGGAATATAATTAGCCAACAAATCTACCATGCTGTGAAAACAATTTGTTTTTATGTTTTACCGTTGTTACGCCCACAATATCAAAAAAAGAAAATGGTGGTCCACATTACCCGAAGTTACTCTACTCTCTTATAAGTTAACTTTTGAAAATATTGTCCAAAGATGGCATATTAGAAAAAATTACAATTTTGATTTATAACCCTGTACAACAAAATGTTTGGTAATGCAAAATTCCTATGGGGATGAAAGCCCTTGGCGAGAATATTAAGAATCCAAATAGAGAAATTTAGCATAGGTCAAGTTTTCAGCTATCACATGATCTTTTTTTTGCTGGTAACTCTATAGAGCATGAAATTAATCTTTATATCTTTGTTTGTTACTTTTGCAGGTTTTATCTTTTCGATAACATATGCTCTGAAAATCTGAAACTCTATATATATTGGACATATTTTTAGGACACATTTTTCGAAAAAGTTTTTTTTCTCATAACCCAGCTAACAATTTGTTTCAAGTTTTTCCAGAATTCGGATATAAACTCTGCATAAGTTTCCGATTCTGATGCCGAATTCATACCGAAATCGGAACAAGACTGTGTGAAAGGTGCCAGCAAATTTGAAACGTTTTGCCGAAAAAAAAATCGCAAAGAACATTCGTGTTTCTTTATGAATTCTATACGAATTCGTAAAAATAATTCGCGAGAAAAATTCTACATTCTGAGGGAATTTTCGATTTACTGCACAAATTCGGACAAAACTCTAAAGAAACATTCGAAAAGGGATAGAAGTAAATCATACATTATTTAAATGTGTTGGATTAATCTGACATAATTACCATAAATAGATCTAATTATCCCAAACACGATAATAACATTTATTCGCGTGAGACTGAACGAGATTTGAGATCCAACGAAAATCTCTAATATCAAACGATGACCCATTCCGTTGAAAAAAAAAAAACGTGTCCGAAATACAGAAATCGCAAACGTAAATCTGAAACGCATATATAATGGACATCTTTTTCGGACACATTTTCCGAAAAAGCTTTTTTCTCATAACTAAGCTAACAATTTTTTCCGAGTTTTTCCAGAATTCGGAGATGAACTCTGCATAAGTTTCCGATTCTGATGCCGAATTCATACCGAAATCGGAACAGAAGATTGTGTAAAAGGTGCCAACAAATTTGGAACGTTTTGTCGAAAAAAAAATCGCAAAGAACATTCGTGTTTCTTTATGAATTCTATACGAATTGGTAAAAAAAACTCGGAGGAAACATTTAACATATTAAGGGAATTTTCGATAATCTGCATAAACTCGGACAAAGCTCTAAAGAAACATTCAAAAATGGATAGAAATTAGATTAGATTTTCGTAATTTTTTTCAGAAGTTAGAATACATT